TTTTTCTAGCCATTGGCCATTCACAACATTTGTGGATACATCAAATGTAACTGCGGCTAGGTTTTATCACAATGGAACTCACAGGGCCCTGACATTGCAACCTCGAAGCTCAACGTTTGCGTCAGGACACAACATTCATAGTTGGCGACAATCAAGAAAAGAAATCGAGATTCCGACAAAAAGATAAAAATCCAAGACGTTAGGTAACAATTTTAGATAAATTTTCGGTACTGATTGGATTCAGTTTACCTGGTGATACGATGCATGATTCGGAACTTTTACATTCTTCCTCTTCTACCTCTTCTTTTTCTTCTTCTTGTCCTCCCCCACCTCCTCCTCCTCCTCCTTCTTCTTTTTCTTTTTCTTCTTCTTCTTCTTCTTCTTCTTCTTCTTCTTCTTCTTCTTCTTCTTCTTCTCACCCTTCTTCTTCTTCTTCTTCTTCTTCTTCTCACCCTTCTTCTTCTTCTTCTTCTTCTTCTTTTCCTTCTTCTTCTTCATCTTTTCCTTCTTCTTCTTCATCTTCTTACCCCCTTCTCGTCCTCATCCTCCTCCTCCTCCTCCACCTCCTCCTCCTCCTCCTCCTCCTCCTCCTCCAAAAGAACAAACAGTAATACACCCGACTGTATTTACCTCACATTCAAAAAGAAATGGGCGAGCTCCCCAACCCCAGCTCGGTAAAGAAGAACCTTGTGAAGGTCACGACAGCATCCAAGAAGGGGGAAAACCCGACCTCACCGGCAGCTCTTCGACTTCGACTTGACTTCGACCGTACATCGCGGAGAACTGAAGGAATGAAAGCTAAACGCCGGTGAGCCTCAGCCCAGCGCCTGTCTTTCCTCATAAACATGACCGTTCTATTATGCCTAGCTACACCCGACCCCGTAGTTTCTAGATATTCTAGTTCTACCTCATCTCTGGTTTTTTCCTTTCCTTCCACTTCCACCCTCTACTTTTTAACTACGTCTTCCCAAACGCCTCTTATTCCATCAAAGGCTAGATTTAGGTGCTTCTTGCGGCCTTCTTATAAGTCGGGTGTAGATTCTAGATAGATCTAGATCTAGATCTATACTAACCGCATATTACGCAAAACACATCACCTGAAAACTACGAGGATGGATCAATAACCAAAAAAACCGACATGTTGCTGAGTGATATTCGAAAAGAACATAACAGCTGGAGTAGTATATTCTAGATCTAGATCTAACCCTGCCCTTTCAACAGAAGATCAGAACATCATGCGTCATTAATTTTGGACTTTCATTTCAAATATCACACTATTTAGATCTAGTGTCAACTTACCACTGAGTTTTTTTCCCCTCGTGTCACACTGTTACACAAACCCGAACTAGAATTGGACAACACACAGCCCTACTGCACACCCGAGCATCAGGAGTGAACGAGTCGCCAGCCGCACAGCATTGTCACACGTCAAAATAGTATGTCCTCCTTTCCACAGTCGCAGAAAAGAAACAGTACGATGATAAGTCCGAAGGTGAACAAGAGTATCCACAGCCAACACGAAAGCGCGAGATAATACAAGCAGGATTTCTTTTTTAAATACTTATCTTACGCAAGGCATATTATCATTATTCGCACTTTTGCTTTCCAGTTCAGTTTTTAAGCGCCTCTCACCCCGTATGATTATGCAGGCCCAGAGCGGAATCGCGAGTTGATTTTTCTATCAGATAGACCGAGGCAGACGCAGAGTGAGCGAGTGTGTGTATGTATTGCTCACAAGCAACCCGCACGAGCGAGGTAACCCTAGCTCACGGTCGGTCTGGCAATCAGTTTACCTAGAGGCCTGAGAGAACCGTATGTATCATGAGGCCTGTACAGTCTACCTGGCTAGGCGGAGGTGGAGAAGCGACGGTGGAAATCACGCACACTGAACTGGGGCTCGCTCGCGGCTTGGTCGGCTGCGCCAGCAGTGCTCACTCACACACACACACACCACACACAGTGACACACACATACACACACACACTCGCGCGCTTGTGTTGCCTGCCAGGTAAAGGTAGAGCTGGTTGGTGATTTTTTCCTTATCTTTTTTTTTTCTTCTTCAGGCCATAACGGAGAGGGTTAAAAGAGAAGAAAAATGACTATGGTATGTTTTAAATTGTTTCAAGGCGAAGATAACGTTAATAAATACAATCAAGATGAAACACGCGGAGGATATTGAGGGTGATCTTTAAGAGAGGGATACGGGAAGAGAGGTGGAGGAAGAGAGAGAGAGAGAGAGAGAGAGAGAGAGAGAGAAAGAGAGAATGAGAGAATGAGAGAATGTGTATGTATTTGTATGCAATTGTGTATGTTTTTGTGTCTGTATGGAAGAGAGAGTGAGAGAGAGAGAGAGAGAGAGAGAAAGAGAGAGAGAGAGAGAGTGAAAGAGAGAGAGAGAGAGGAGGGGGGGGTAGGTTCAACAAAACAAAAAGTACATTTTTTTCTGACTGTGAAATGGCGATCGGAATTAGGGGAGGAAAGGAGAGAGGGGGCAGCATGCATAGTTGGCTGTGCCATGTGCACCGAAAAGATAGCAGAACATCAACCTTTGGCATTCCCTGTGCCTATGACAAGCGCAATTCGACACTTTACACCTCTGGCAAAGATAGAGATAGGAGCCGCTACAGCAGTAGCAACCGAGAGAGTGTTGGAGATAGTAGTTGTAGCAGCAGCAACATTAGTAATAGTCGTAGTCGTAGTAGTAGTAGTAGTAGTAGTAGTAGTAGTAGTAGTAGTAGTAGTAGTAGT